CTTGGGGCTCCTGGCGTATTTTCTGGCTTAGGTGGTATAGGCTGTGAGACACCTTAGTCCCAGAAAGCCCTGTGTTCCCAAGTTTGTTTGGGGAGCCAAAGAGAGCAGGCTGAGGTGGGCAGTTGCATCATTCACCTGGTGATGCCTTCTTCCCCTCGCACAGTAACCGACTTCTCTCCGTGTTTCCCTCTGGATCATGCTGTACCTGATTTTCTCCATCCTGTCTTGTCTCTCATGGTGTCCTGTGTTCCCTTCGCTCAGCCTGGTTTGGAGAAGCCACTGTCATGTGACAGCCACTCTTTCCAGTCTCATTTAATTCTCCTTGCAACATAATATTACTCCACCTTTATTCTTTTTCTCTCTCCATCACACATTCATTCAACAAACATTTACTAACTGCCAACCACATGGGGGGTACAATAAGAAAGGGCTGAAAATCTCTCTTGAAACTTATAATCTAACATGAGGGACACTGGGCAGTAAATAATAAACACACTATAAATCGATTATATATTAATTGATATCATTGCTTTGAACAATTTAAAGCAGGGTAAGGGGACCAAGAAATGGCAAGGAAGAGGAGCAATTGTTAAAAGAGTGGTCAAAATCAGCCTCATTGCAAAAGGTGACATCTGAACAAAGACTTCCAGAAGCTGAGAGGTGGATGTGGGCCTCTGGGCCAACTGTGTTTCCCCTGAGACAGAGGCCCCAAGGGGGGACTGTTCCTGGCAGGTTGGAGGAACCAGGGACAGGGATCGATAGTGTTGGAGAAAGTCTGAGCAGTCCTGGGGGTTCTTGTGGGCTATAGCAAAGCCTCTTTTCTTTATTTTGAGGGAGATGGGGGCATCAAGGGTGGGACTGGATGTGATCCAAGGTATTTAAAGGATCACTCTGGCTGTTGAGTGGTGGACTGTAGGGGAGTGGGGGTGGAAGCCGGGGGTCATTTGAGGAATGGAGGTTCAAAGTGTCTTGCCTCAGGTTGCATGGCCAATGAGTGCTGGAGCCAAAATTGGAATCCAGCTCGAAAACCAGAGCTCACATGTACTTTGCCCTGCGCTAGCCTCCTCTCCCTATGGGGTGGCGCCATAAGGGGGTAGCCTCCTTGAACCAGGTTCTGAGGCAAAATGGAAGGGGATGGGTTGTCATCCATTGTCCCTTCCCCCTGTTCCCTCATGGTCTCCTTGAGACCCCAAATCAGGGAGGTCTTGTCTCACCTGGGAACTCGCACCAGGCTCGCAGGGAGGTTTGGGAGGTGTGGCGCCCCAGAAGCCAGGCCCAGCTCTGGGCACCAGGGGAGCCCGGGCATGCTGGGGCCTTGGCTGTGGTGGCGGGTTGCTAGGCGACTCGGAGAGGGAGCCCTGGTTACTGCTGCCTGGCAGAGGCGTCTCCCTCCTCTGCCTCCCTCACCTCCTCCGTGGCCTCTGGCCTCCCAGGAGGCCTTGTGGGCGAGTTGTGATCGGTGCTTGCCACTGGATCTTGGCGGGGAACTCTGATTGGTACCAGGTGGCTGGGCCCTGAGGAACCAGACTGGGCTGCAGGGCCTGGGCTTCCCTCATGGGGCACGGCCCTGGTGCACACCTGGTTCAGGGTCCAGCTCAGCAGTCAGAAGCCTTGTCCTTGCCCACCTGGGCCATCTCCCTGGTTTAACCTGGCAAGGCACAGCAGCCCTATAGGCCTCAACTGCCCCATCCATCTGGCCTGCACAGTCCCTTCCCCAGGGTCTTGTTTTCTGTGAGTGTGCAAGGTGGGGGGAGGGGGGCTGTTGAGCTGGCAGGGCTCAGGTACCCCCCCCCCCCCCCCGGTGACTTGAATGTGTAACACTCAAGTTTTGCATTAGGCTTCATTTATGAAAAGAGTTCCCTTGCTTTAGGAAAAAAAAAAAAATTAAAAGCCTCTTGACTGGATGATCCCAAGAACTTTCAGTGTCAAACTGAAAGGTACCCCAAGTATAGTGGACCCATCTCATCAGTTTAGGGGTAGTGATACTGAGGCCCAGAGAGGAGGAGGAACTTGCCCCAAGTCAGGTTTGGTGGTGTAGAAAGAGCACCAGACTGGGGGTCAGAGGCTTGGGCTTGAATCCCTGCTCTGCCGTTAGATTCTGAGTGACCTTGGGCAAGTCCTTTCCCTGGGCTGGACCAGCAGTGGTTTCAGGTTGGGGCTCAAGCTCTTAGGGGTACCTAACTGGGCAGAAAACAGAGTGGGAGAGGCCGCAAACTTTCAGGGGCTTGGAGCAAGTGTTTTTTTAGGGTAGTCTGAAATATTTTTATATTCAGAAAATTTAGAAGTTATGAAGTACAATGCGAAATAACCTTAAATTCTAAAATAGAAAAAACTTAGGGGAAAATCTGACCTTGCAACATGCCCCCAGTCTCCCCAGGCTGCCAGCTTCTAGGGATAGTTTACATGGAAAATGTGAGAAGCACTGGAATACTGGCTTCCTCAGATTCTTTGGAAATTCCTGGCTTGTTTCTCTCCCATGGTGGAATGCGATGTCCTTTAGACTCAGAGACTAACCTGAAATCAATACCTGACTCTGCCACTTAAACTGTGTGACACTGGCAACTTATATAACCTCTCTGAGCCTCACTCTCCTCATCTTGAGGTAGGGATCACAATCCCTGACTTGTATGGAGTCTGACAGAATGATTAGTGAGATAAAGTACTTATAACACCCAGGGCTTGAATAGGCAGGTACTGAGTAGGTGCTGATGCTTGGCAATGCCCTCCTCCTCCCCATACCTCCCTGCTGGCACACAGTGACTTTGATAGAGAAGTGTTGCCTGACTGACCTCCAGAAGTTGGGAGGGGGAGTCGCTGGTAAGCCAGATACTCCCAGAGGGGAAGAGAACCAAGGCCTCCTAGGCCCTAGATCACAGGTGTGGGGGAGGGGCTGGGGAGCCAGGTGCAGGGGCGGGAGCAAGAAGGGGTATCTACTTGAGGGAGCACCACTCCCTGGAGGTCCAGCTCCCCTCCTCCCAGAGCCCCAGGAGAAGCCAGGCAGGGCTAGGCTGGGAGGGGCCTTGGAGCCCCAGCTGTCTTCTCCTAAGACCAGAAAGTGCCAACTGTAGGGAGCCCGGAGCCCTGAAGAGGCAGGTTAGTACCTGAAGCTAGAGGTGAGTGGTGGAGGGTACAGCAGGAAAGAAGTCTCCTCCTGGAGCTTGGTGTGAAGAAGGCAGGAGGGAGAGCCCCTGTGGATTAGTGGTTATCGGCTAGGCGACCGATGAGTTACGAGCAGGTCTATGTGTTGGGCAGATCTGGGGTGATACCTGGTGTGGCTGCCTGTGGGACTGTGGGCAAATTACATCATGCCTCTGGGCCTCTGTTCCCTGGTCCATGAGATGGGTAATGCCAGCTGCCCAGGGTTGCCGGTGCCCAACACAGCCTGATATTAAGGGAGTAAAGATAGCAGATCTGTGGGGTGATCTAAGACGTGAGGTCTTCTGCAAATGTACCAGTTGCATTCACTAAACACATGCTCCACACATTATCTCAGGTAATGAGCTGAGGGCCTTCCAAGGTGGTTACTGAATGGCACTCACTATTTTTAGTGCATCGAGGCCCCGAGGCTCACAGAGGTTGGTCAGCCCCTGGTCACACCAGCTAGGTGACTGAAAAAGGCCAGGCATCCTGCCCTGTCCCAGGCCCGTGCTGTGTCCACAGCAGTGTCTGAGGCTGGAGGTCAAGACCACCAGGTGGGAGGTTCCAGAGGTGGGTGTGGCAGACCCAGCAGAGTTCAGCTTCTCCAGGTTCCTGTGGGGAGCCAGGTCATTCTACCTGGGACTCCCCTGTCTTCCTCTATCTCAGGACAGGCCTGGCAAAAGCAGGCCTGGGGAGCAGTAGAGACCTGCACAGCAGAAATTTAAAAGAGGATATGTGCATGGGTGGCAAAGGTTAAGTTTAGGGAATACCCAGGGACAGCAGAAAGGCATAATGTAGCCTTGGGCAAGCCATTTCACCTCTCTGAGTCTTGGCTGTACATGGGATTTATGCTACCTGCTTGTGGGAATTTTATGAATATTCCATCGAGAAGGGGCTTTACTGGCAGAGCTGTTCTTCAGATGGTCCTGGTGAGGAGGGTGGACTGCATGAGGAGGGTGGACTTCCCCCAAATGATAGCCTGGGGAGCTGGACTGGTAGGCATTGATCAGAGATGGGATCTGAGGTTTCTATGACCAAAGGATAATGGATGTGCTTTGAAGGGCTTGCTATAGGATCCAAGGCCTCTGTGGGGTTCACAGAAGAATTGGGGTAAATCTCTGAAAAAATCTCAGCCCTGTGCTCCTCTTGAGGACCCCCAGTCTATTCAGCTTTTCCTGGCCAGGCCCTCCCAGCAAAGGGTTAACAGTTTTCTCTACCTGCAGTTGCATTTTAAAGACACGAAATTAAAGCAGGTAATTTATTCTCCCCACACACGAAAGAGCAATTAGTTCTAAACAGGGCTTAATCAGTCACCGCGAGATTGATTTCTGGAGCCCTGGGTTTTCGGGCTCCTGGCACCATGCCAGGCTGGGGAGGGAGGGGGGCGGACAAATGAGCCGTGTTGGCATGAGCCCTTACATAATCTGCTGGGGGGCCCATGCAGCCTGGCTAACTCCGGGTGGGGCTTGGCTGAGTTGGGGAGAGGGGTCCTGCTCCCCGGCTGCAGCCACCTTAACAGTAGCCCTCAGGGTACATGTAGGCCTCCAGGGAGAGGCGAGGCCCAAAGCTCCAGCCCAGCTCCAGCCACTGGGCACCATCAGCTGGGGGCCTGGGAGAGGGAAAAGGTGGTGTGGTTCTGGGGTCAGGGATGGGTGTTCTGGGTTTGTCCAACCTGGTGCTTAACACCTGTTTCCCCCAACCCTGTTTACCCCCCTCACCCTTCGACTGTCCCTATTTCCTGCCCCCTTTTCTGTTCTGCCTCCTTCCTCTTATGCTCTCACTTCTTTGCTCTGTTTTCTCTCTTTCCCCCACGGCCTCCTCACCTCCCACTCCCCCACCTCTGTCCTTGTCTCCGGCCACAGAACTCCATCCGGCACAACCTGTCGCTGCACACCCGTTTCATCCGCGTGCAGAATGAGGGCACCGGCAAGAGCTCCTGGTGGATGCTGAACCCTGAAGGAGGGAAGACTGGCAAGACCCCGCGGCGCAGGGCCGTGTCCATGGATAATGGGGCCAAGTTCCTGCGCATCAAGGGCAAGGCCAGCAAGAAAAAACAGCTGCAGGCACCTGAGCGAAGCCCGGACGACAGCCCCCCGGGTGCCCCGGCCCCAGGGCCCGTGCCCGCCGCCGCCAAGTGGGCCACCAGCCCGGCCTCGCACGCCAGCGACGACTACGAGGCGTGGGCTGACTTCCGCGGCGGCGGGAGGCCCCTGCTCGCAGAGGCAGCTGAGTTGGAGGACGACGAGGCCCTGGAGGCCCTGGCGCCCTCCTCGCCGCTCATGTACCCAAGCCCGGCGAGCGCGCTGTCCCCGGTGCTAGGCGCGCGCTGCCCGGGGGAGCTGCCCCGCCTGGCCGAGCTCGGAGGCCCGCTGGGCCTGCACGGCGGGGGCGCGGGGCTGCCCGAGGCCCTGCTGGACGGCGCGCAGGACGCTTACGGGCCGCGGGCGCGCGCCGGGACGCCCGCCTACTTCGGAGGCTGCAAGGGCGGCGCCTACGGCGGGGGCGGGGGCTTCGGGCCGCCGGCGCTGGGCGCGCTGCGCCGCCTCCCCATGCAGACCATCCAGGAGAACAAGCAGGCGAGCTTCGCGCCGGCCGCCGCGCCCTTCCGACCCGGGGCTCTGCCCGCGCTCCTGCCGCCCGCGCCGCCCGCGCAGAGGCCCGGCCCCGTGCTGGGCGCGCCCGGGGAGCTGGCGCTGGCCGGCGCGGCCGCCGCCTACCCAGGCAAGGGGGCGGCCCCCTACGCGCCGCCGGTGCCCTCGCGCAGTGCCTTAGCCCACCCCATCAGCCTTATGACGCTGCCCGGCGAGGCGGGCGCCCCCGGCCTGGCGCCGCCGGGCCACGCGGCCGCCTTCGGGGGCCCCCCCGGGGGCCTCCTGCTGGACGCGCTGCCCGGGCCCTACGCGGCCGCCGCCGCCGGGCCCCTGGGCGCCGCGCCCGACCGCTTTCCGGCCGACCTGGACCTTGACATGTTCAGCGGGAGCCTCGAGTGTGACGTCGAGTCCATCATCCTCAACGACTTCATGGACAGCGACGAAATGGACTTCAACTTCGACTCGGCCCTGCCTCCGCCCCCGCCCGGCCTGGCCGGGGCCCCACCCCCCAACCAGAGCTGGGTGCCCGGCTGAGGGCCGCCTCGCCTCCGGTGCCCTTGGCGCCCCTGCCCCGCCCAGCCCCAAGGGGCCTCTGTCTTCCCATCCTGATTCCCGGGTCCCCACCCCTGATTCCAGCTGCATGGGAGGGTCCAGGAGGCAGCCCCCGCCCTGCTAGAGGCCTCCCGCAGAGCAGAAGCTGGCCACTGAGGGGGGGGGGAGGGCCCGGGGACCCCATCATTCCTGCCCCGGCTCCTGAGACCCTCTGCTTCCGCGGCCAGGCGGGGAGTCTGGGAGTGGAGGCTGAAATCCAGGCAGGGTGGGTTGGTGAGGAGCCAGGAGCACCGCGCTGGTGTGGCCGGAGAAGACACCCGCCGGAGATGGGGGCCGGGGACGTCTCCAAATCTTTTCAGTTTTTTTTTGCGGGGTCCTCGCCGTGACAAATCGCCCTCCCCAAACTCCGATCGGATTCCCCAGTGACACTTTCCCACTGGCCTTAGCCTCCCGCCATCCCAAGCCAGGAACCCCCTTCCTAAAACACACTCACACCGACCTGTTGGCTGTTCAGCCAGGAGCTGTCCTTCAGCCCCAAGCACCCCGACTCCACCCCTACGGTTCAGCCCCAACCTCCCAAGCCCCAACTTCTCCGTCCTTTGTCGGAGTCCATCCTGGTTTCCAGCCCTGCACCACTTCCCTACACAGGTCTCAGCCTCTCCAGAGGGCCTCAGCTCCGGATCCACCCCCACCCAACACCCCCGACACCCCTTTCTTCGCACCCGTCCTGGCACCTCTCTCACCCGTATTTATAAGTGTCCGGTCGGGGCGGGCTGTGGGCGCGGCGTCCCCAGCGCATATCGTAGGCAGTGTACCGTGGCTGTGCCGTCAGCGTGTGCGTGTGCGTGTGTGCCGTGTCGAGGCCGTGTAGAGTGCATTGTACAGCATATTTTCATGAATAAAATTGTTTTAAATATTTCTCGCGCCTTGGGCTAGCAGGGGGGAATGTGGGAAGAGGACAGTTGGGCCTGAGCGCCTATGTGGTGGTGTGTCCAAGTATGTGTCCACACTCCCTGGTACCTGCCTACTCAACACACATGGTTAAGCGCCTGCTGAGCTCTGGGTGCTGGAGATGACCCTGTGTGGGACTCTGCACCTGCTGCTGTGAACGCGTGCATGCAGGAAGTTTCTGGCCTGGGGAAATTCTGTCCTGAATAAGCCTTAGAGATTGGAGGGAAGGCAGATACTTACCTAGAACCTGTTACTGTCAGGTCCTGAATTAGGGAGGATTTTTGTTCCTATTGTACAGATGAGAAAACAAGGTCAGAGGGGGATATAGCTTGGGAAGGCAGGGTGGGTGATGGAAAGGAGGCCTTTGAAGGCGCACAGACTTCTTTTGGAAACTATTCTCTGACATTTGTCAGCGATGTGACCCCAGAGAGGTTTCAACCTCTGTAGCCTTGCTGTCTTGGTCTGGACCATAGGATAATAGAACCCATCCCATGGGTTTCTCCAAGAAGTAAAGGAGAAAATTTATCTAAAATGCTCATCTTGGGTCCTGTACTCATTCATTCGTGGGAGATTTAATGAGCCCCTGTTCTGTGCCAGGTCTGTAGAGTGTCACAGGCACTCTCTGCCCTCAAGAAACTTAGAAGATTGAGCAGAGCATGGATGAATAAATAGGCAATTATAGATGAGAGCTGTAATGAATGGGGGAGCCAAGTGGGTGTTGTGGGAAGGAATGACATGGCTGCACCCATCCCAGGATTGGGAAGTCAGGGGAGGTGCCTGGGAGAGGCGGTGCTGTCTCAGCTGTGTCTTGAAGGATGAGTTGGCATTGGGAGTGGAGGGATCCAGATAGTGGGAATGGTGTATTCAGAAATCTGGAGCTCCAGACTTCTGGAGCAGTTTAGTGTGGCCAAAACTCAGAGATGGAAAGATTACTGATCATGCGCAGGCAAATGGGCCAGGGGAGGCAACTATGGGAGAGGGCAGGGGCCAGGCCAGAGGTGCTGGTGGTGACTCAAGGCAGCAGGGAGAGAGGAGGGCAGTGGGACTGAAAGGGAAAGTATAAGTTTATGTGTATTTTGGACATGGGGTTGGTGGAATTTGGTTGTGAATTGGGTGTGGGGATGAAGGACAAGGAAAAGTCGAGTGATTCTTGGTGCCCGGATGGGCACCCAGTCATTCCTTGAGACAGAACAATGAGGCAGTAGCTGCCTTGGGGAAGATGGCATGCTCAGCCTCAAGCATGCTTAACTTGAATTAGGTCCTACAGGAATCTTTGGGATTTAGGAGGGCTATTCAGGAGCACATGTACTGTGTGAATGTCAATCCCTAGCACAGGGCAACATGGTGACCCGGGGATGTCAACAGGACGGTGGAGTCAGAAGCCCAGGAGGTGTCTGCACTGGAGAGGGAGGAGGGCAGCAAATCAAGACCACAGAGAGGTGTTGTGGGGATTTGGAGAGTGGCTTGGAGGATGGTGCAGAGCAGAAGAGCGGTGACCCAGGTCTGCTGGGAGGAGCACTAGACACCTTGACACAGGAAGGGAAGCTACTGGCTGAGAAGGAGCAGCTGGAGTGAGGAAAAGAGAAAAGCCAGGACACTGTGGGCTCCTTGAGTGTGTAAAAAGAGTGTGACCCTAGAAAGGAATACCCTCTTCTCTCCCTGGAACGCCACTTTCTTGGTCTGGGTGATGGGCAGTAGCACCAGTCTAGATTCACTCTGAGGAGTAAATAAGATTGCAATTATTCTCTGAGGTCAAACTGCTGGCAAGGGGCAGAGCCAGGATTCCTGCCCAGACTGTGCATTTCCAATGTTCAGGCTATTTGAGGCTCCGCGGCTACCGGGGAGGTGGCTTGCAGCAGAGGAACTCAGAACCAGCAGGTTCTGTACAGGTTCTGGGCTCAGAGTTGGGGGAAGGACCTCACTGTGCGGTGTGGTAGGTGTTCTAACTGGGTGGGGAGAACATGGAGACTGACAGACCCTTCCCTGGGACAGCCCCACCCCACCAGCAGACTCTGGGACAGCCTAGCTGAATCTGGGCTCCAGATGGGCTGCAAAGGCTGCCCCCACCCTAGGCTGACAGAGGGTGGGCTGCTGGTGTGCGTGTGCTGGTCTGTGTGTGTCCACAGAGCCCCACATGCATCTGTCTGTGTGGGCCTGTGCATGTGTGTGTGTGTGTGCTGGGAGGGGGCAGACTGAACGATGGTTGGGGTCTCCCTGTCTTGAGTGCACATGCCTGAGTGCGTGTGTGTGTGTGTGTGTGTGTGAGAGAGAGAGAGAGAGAGAGAGAGAGAGAGAGAGAGATGGGAGGGGCTGGGTGACAGTTGGGGTCTCCCTGTCTGAATGTGCACATGCCTGGTGCGCACGCGTGTGTGCGCGCATGCACGCACGTGCATGTGTGGTGGGGGTGACAGTGCTACCATCTCCCAGGGTTCCCTCACGTGCGCTGGGACTGTGCAGTCCCTGCCTGTGTGCGCGGCTTGTCTTCCTCTCTGGGTGTGTCTGCTGTCTTGGCACACACCTCTCTCCGGGTGCACCGGAGCTGGTGTTGCCCTGCCAGGAGCGTCTCTGGGCTGCTCTGCTGTGGGAAGGGAAGGGAGGAAAGCGAGGGACACTCCCAACCCTGGGATAGGGCCAGGCTTTAGAGTAAGAGCAGTGAGACCACCTCAGAGTAATGACTGCTCTCTGCCCAGTTCAGACCAGGGGTAATTCCAGACAGCCTTGTCCTGCTGGGCCCCATCAGGAGAAAGGGGCAACACCCCTGCAGCTGGGGGTCTGCAACTGGCCCTTCCCCGCCAGTCTTGGAGCCCAGCAGACGCGCCCCCTCCATGCCCGCTCTCTGGGAGGCGTCTGACACATGATTTATTCATAAAAAGCCATTATTTGTGCCAAAGAAGAACTGAGCTGCTCGCTTTTTAAGTGCTGATAATGCTCTCAGCCTCCTCGCCTCTCCTCTCCCGCCTTCCCATCTCCTCTCTCCTCTTACCTCCTTGGGACCTCCCAGCCGTCCCCCCTCCCTTTCTTACCCCTTCCCCTTATTCTTTGCTCAGGTCCTTTATTGTTCCCCTCATGCCTCCTCTCCTTCCCGCTCACCCCACTCACCTCCTCCCCACTTCCATTCCACAACTAAGGGAGGGAGGCAGGGACAAGGGAGGGAGGCTCAACCGATTCTACCAGAAGGGGAAGGCCTACACCCCCACCTCAACTTTCACCTCTTCAGGATGAGGGGAAGGTTGGGCGGGGGTGGGAACAGCTGAGAAATGTAGGGTAGGGAGTGTTCAGAAGCTGCCATAAACAGCTTTCCCTATGTGAAAGGGTGTGACTTAACCCCCCCCCCCATTATTAGCACTAGCCTCCCAGAAACATTCACTCTAAATAAAAACGTTGTATTTCATTTGTGAATGCAGGCTCAAGGCAAACTCCCTAGGCCTCTTTCCCCACTACCAGGTGTGCCCCTCAAGTGCCCCCATATAGAAATTCTGGAGTCACCATTATTCAGGTGTTTCCAGGAGAGACTGGCATCAAAGGTGGCTCTTGGGGCCTGTCACAAAGCACCTGTTTCTAGACAGGAGGCAGTAGAGTAAGGGCCACATATGTGAGTGTGGCTGTGGACACACACAGGCCCTAAGAAGTGGCCCTCACAGATACACATGTGTGTGCTCTCATGCCAGCACATGCACATGCACGCAGCACACAGCCACATACCTACTCGTGCAGATGGAGAGGCCTCCTCCCCCAGCACCTGCAACAGTGGGTGGAGGGGGGGTGGTGTGCGCTGAAACTCTCCCCATTCAGACACCTGCTTTTTCATTCACTCTCTTCATCATAACTCGTGTGTTTGTAGCCCCTCTGTGCCAGCTCTTGTGCTGGGCGCTGGGGTGGTAGAAATGAACTTGATTGGGCCAAAGGGAGGGGGACTGCAGCACAGTGGGGACCATAGGCCCTCCCCTGTAGCCTTGGGCTGGGGGTTAGGCACCCAGCAGGCAAGGGGTTAAGTCATTTGGCATCCAGAGCTGGAGCCATTAGGCCTCCTAATTATGAAATTATCGAGGTCCTCAGGTGACTGCTAATTTCACACACACTGTTCCTCTCCCGGCTAATGAACGCCCGCAGAACCCACGCCTTGTCTTTCCTGCTGAACGGTGACCTGCAGTTAATGAGCTCAGGAAGGCAGACAGGCCTCCGGCTGGGTGGGTGGGGCGCCAGGCCTGAGGAGGGGGCCCCTTGCTCCTCCTGCCCTACTGACTCCTTTGCTGGCTGCCAGCCCCCAGTGAGAAGGCTTCAGGGCCCAGGTCCAGCCACGGTTCTGTAGGAAGCCAGGGGCTCTTGGGAGCAGGGAGAGATGCAGATTTGATCCTCATGCTAGCATGGGGGTGGGTGGGGAAACAACATGCAAATGGTGGAGGAGGGCCATTTCTGCTTGATTCTGGGGTGCTGTCAGAGACCTTTAAGACACAGTGCTATCAGGCTATTGCCAGCCACTATGCGATGAGTTTGGTCCCCAGCCAGGGAACTGACCCACATGTCTCAGCAGACCTCGCCTGTCTTGCCCTCTGTTCCCCTCAGCAGTGTATTTCAGTAGATCTGCCTGTTCTGCTCCCCACTCTGTCCCTGGTGAATCCTCTCATCTCCCCGCATACCTCTGGCCTGTACCCCAGCTCTTCTATGTATAAATGATATTTTTGAAAATTAAAAAAAAAGGGCTGGGTTACCTCGCTTCAGGAGAGAGGAGTAGTGGGGCTGGGGAACACTCATGCCGGATGCCAGAGCTGTTGATGACTCTGGGGCATGAGGACTTTAATGATAGTGCGAATGTCAACTGGTGAGATTGTAATACGGCTGGTGCTGGAGATTTTCAAAGTTTTAATTTTTAAACTTAAAAACAATTCAATGACCTTTTAACATAACATTTAAAAATTGCCCTGTAAAACATGAAGGGATAAAACTGACATATTGGTTATGATTTTAGGTGGCAGCAGCAGGAACCCAGGTCTGGAGGTCAGTTTCCCCAAATGGGGACACAGTGGATCCTTCAGGTTGACCAGGTAGGTTTGGAGGACCAATGAGCTACCCGTGGAGAGGCCCTACCCTGAACAATGCTAAGCGAGTGACAGCGTGGTGAATAAGCGGGACAGCGGGTGAACATCATGATGTGGGTGCCAGGGGCCTGTGTTCTAGCTTGCTTCTGTCCTGTGGCTTTGTGCAAGCCCTGTGCCCTCCCTGGGCCTCCATTTCTGGGTGAGCAAATGATACGAGTAGGCTAGAGCTGTGTTTACAGAAGGGACAGCCTGGACTCCTTAGGGGGTTGCCTATATTCAGCCTGAGTTCCCCATCAGGGACATTCCCCTGAGCCAGGCACCCCAGGCCCGAGGTGGGGGGCTTAGCAGACTCTGTCTCAGGCTTGTGTATTTATATATGGGGTGCATGCAGGTGTGCATTACTCCATCTTTCTGAAGAGTCCTCTCTCAGAAATCAGAGGGACATCCTGGCTTCCCCCAGCCAGCTTGTAGAACTGTGTCCTCTGACAGCAAGTTCCCACTTTGCCACCAACTCCTATCGACTTCTGCACCTTGGTTTCCCACCTGTCAAAGTAGGGAATAAAAGTGTGAACTCGTTTTGGATGTGACAAAGATCCCAGAGGTTACAGCTGTTACTGTGTGACCTGGGCCTGACCAGTTCTCTCCTAGGTGCCCACAGGCTCTTCTCCAGGCAGCCAGCTCCCGGGGAAAGTGTCTCCACTGCAGGTATTCCCAGGTGTGGGTGGAGGGAGCAGGGATCTTGCCCCCTGCACATGGACACACACCTCTGGATCCTGCATGTGCCTGATAGCCCTTTGTAGG